TAACAATAATCAGCATTTTACTTGATTTTGAAACATTGAATACATTTTAATTAAAATTAGGAACCAGAACAACATAAGGATGTCTATTATTGCTGTTATTCAAGATGATTCTGAAAGTTCTAGAGAATATAATAAAGGAAGAAAAAATTTAGATGTTAGTATTGGAAAGAAAAAGATAAAATTATCGTTGCTACAAAACATACTTGCTTAGAAAACTCAGAATAATTGATTAAAAATTTTAGCCCTAACAAGCAAGATTAGTAATGTAATCAGTTACAAAATCAATTTGTTTATAATATATCACTATGAAAGTTTAGCCAATATAATGGCAAATATTTTCATTCACAAAGCAATGAAAATAAGTAATACAAATGATTTTAAGGTGAAAATATGTTCTAGACTTGTTGAAGAACCTCTATAAAGATTAGGAAAGGAAAAGAGCAAGAACACTTCAATAATTGTTTTCCTGAATTAGAAGCATACTAAATCTAAGTACCAATTATCCCCCTAAATAATTGATAAATCCAATTAAAATTTTAAAGTAGTATTGTGTAACTTTTCTTAAATGTTTTACTCTGGGGTAGATATTATGTCAAGTAATAGATGTATAAGTATGCATGCTTTTTTAAGACTTACATAGTTTACTGGTTAGGATTATTATTATTTGTAGATGAAGAAACAGGTTTTGAGAAGTCAAGTATTTATGGCACAGGATTAAACATTGTCTCAGGCTGTACAATTTGAGATCCTCCCACTTTAATACTTTGTAACATGACTCAAAATCCCTATTAAAAATGTTGGTAAACTTTATCAAATGATAACTGATAAATTTCATGTGTAAGATTAAATCTGTGAGAACAGCCAGGATAATTCTATAAAAAATATAGCTTATTTAATGTTGTACTTGGCTTTTAAATGTTAAAGTACATTGTAAAATTATAGTAATTAATAGGGAGATATCAGTACAAGGAACAGAAGAGAAAACTTAACCATCAAACCTAAGTATCAGTGAAAACACTAATATATGATAAAAATGGTATTTTAAGTCAGTGCAAATTGATGAAATATTTTCTAAGTAGTGCTGGGACAATTATTTTTAACCATAATTACATTCCCAATAACATGCCATACTTCAGAACTTCAAAATATAATCTGGATTGGTTAAAGAATTAAATACAGCATATGAATCTACAAAAAAGCAAAAAAAAATTAAGCAAATATTAATGTGATTTCACAACAAGAAGGTCTTTATAAAAATGAAATAAAAAATCATAAAAGAAAAATGAATGGATTTCAATAAATAGAAAGTTGAAGTTTTGTATATAAATCAGTACTAGAAACAAGGTAAGCCACAAATTGGGAAAGAATTTTCAATGTATTTGATCAATGACTGATGTTGTTATGTGGACAATTCTTATATATTAATTATAATAAAGTAAGCAATATTAAAAGAAATCAAATCACTAGACAGATGATTAAAATAAATGCAAATGTCTAATAAACACTTATAAAATTATTCAGCCTCACTTTTAATCAGTGAACACTAAACTGATCATACAGCATTCTCTCCCCCCTCAAAAAAGGCTGATTGAATGGCTGATTTCTGACTGTTAATGAAGAAGTCTGTTAGTTTACTTTTTTAAGTAATGGCTTTATTGAGACATGATTCACGTCATAAAATTCCTCCTTTCATGGTATACAATCCACTTTTTAGTATGTTCACAGAGTTATACAACCATAACCACTATCTAATTTTAGAACATTTTCATTACCCCAAAGAGAAAAAATATGCCTATTATCATCATTCTCCATTTCCTTCTCCCCCTTGGAACCACTAATTTACTTTCTGTCTCATCAGGTTTGCCTATTCTGGACATTTCCTATAAATGGAATTATCCCTTTTGGTCTTTGATATTGGCTTCTTTCAGCTGGCATGTTTTCAAGGTTCATCCATGTTGCATCATGAATCAAAGCTTCATTCATATTTATGGCCAATGTTCCATTTTATGGATTTCCATGTTTTCTTTATCTGTTTATCAGTTGATGGACATTTGTTGTTTCCACTTTTTGGACTATTATTAATAATGCTGCTTTGCACATTCATGTACAAACTTTTGTGTGGACATTTGCTTTCAGTTCTCTTTGCTATATATCCAGGAGTAGAACTACTGAGTTATGTAGCAGTTGTATGTTTAATATTTTGAGGAGCTGCTGAAATGTTTATCAAAGAGGTTGCACCTTTAACAATCTCAGCAGCAATGTAGGAGAGTGCCGATTTCTTCACATCCTTGCCAAAATTTGTTAATGTCTGTGTTCTTAATTTTAGTTATCCCAGCGGGTATAAAGTGATCTTTCATTATGGTTTTGATTTTTATTTTCCTAATGACTAATGATACTGAGCATCTTTTCATATACTTATTGGCCATTTGTGTATCTTCTTTAGAGAAATGTCTGTTTAAATCCTGTGCCACTTTTTAATTTGGCAATTTGTCTTTTTATTGTTGACCTGTAAGCATTTGTCCTGGATACAGGTCCCTTATTAGGTACAAGTCTGCAAAAAATGTTCTCCCGTTCTGTGGGCTGTATATATATTTTCTTGATGGTGTCTTATGAAGCACAAAAGTTTTTAATTTTGGTGAAATCGAATCAATTTTTTTTTGGTCACCTGTGCTTTTGGTGTCATATCTAAGAAAGCATTGTCAAACTCAAGGTCATAAAGATTTACTCTTAAGTTTTCTTCTAAGTATTTTACAGTTTTAGTGCTTACATTTACGTCTATGATATATCTTGAGTTAACTTTTATATATTGTGTGAATTCAGGGCACACTTTCATCCTTTTGCATGTAGACTTCCTGTTGCTCAGCACCAGTTGTTAAATAGACTGTTCTTTCCTCATTGAATTTGCTTGATATCCTTGTTTGTTGTTGTTGTTTAGTGACTTAACTGCACTAAGTTTATAAAGTCTATTTTTAGTTATGTGGAAGCATTGGAAGCTCATTAAGCTTAGTGGTCAATTAATGATGGGACAGAGATTACCTTACGTATCTTGAATTAATAAATCTCTCGACCTTTGCCAGGTGGTTCTCTGTGTATTGGAAGGCATGCATCACTGCTCCAACAGGCAGTCTATAACCCTGCCTTAGCCTTCTATTCCTGCCTGGGTAGAGGTGGGTGATTAGGGTGTTTTCAGCTTTTCCTTGAAATGTGCACAGTTCTGCACGTGCACTTGGCATTCTAGATTCTCAAGAATATATCAGAGCTTTACAACACTACTTATGGAAATATCATTCTCCAGATATTCCTTTTAAGATTTTTAGTCAGCCTCTTATTTAGCACTGACTAGTACTCCACCTCAGGCTGCTTTGATGTTGAATAATTGCCACTTATTTCAACAAATGCTCTAGGAATATGGCTGTTCACACAGGGCAAGCTTTGAGTTTGATCAAATGAAGGCAAACCCTAAGAATGGAGTTTTTCAGGGAGCTTCCAAATGGCAATATTTCTCTGGGAATGGGACTTTTGTGGACCTCCAAACCCATCTGTCTCTTCCAGTGGCTACTAGGTTGCTAATTTTTATAGTCATCATGGTTGTGAGGCTATTGGTTTTCAAGCATGCTGTGGACCTGGGAAGAGAGGGATAGGAATAGAGGAACTTTAAATGACACAAAGCTTACTGTTCTTACTGAGATTCAGTCATTTTTCTTGATAAGTTCTACTTGGATTATTGCAAGTCTTTGGTTAAATTTCCAAGATTCTGAAAAAGTTGATTTTGATAATTTTTGCCAGTGGTCTCATTTCTTCTGTGGCAGAGCAGATTTTTCAGAAGTCCTTTTTCCACCATTCCCAACATGCTTCTCTCAATTTACTTTTAATATAAGTTATTCTATTCTAAGTTTAAATTGTTTTAAGCTTTATTTACAGTGTGATGTTTAGAACATGCTAGAAATTGCATAATTTACAACTACTTAAGCTTATTAAAATTATGAGAAGCTTCAAATGAAAACTTAAAAATTTCCAAGGTGGTACATACTTTTAGAGTTCTTTTTGAGCTAAATCACCAAAATATATTTGACGTCTGTCTTAATAGCAAAGGAGTTTGAAGGACTTATTTGAAGAGAATGAGAATTTGTGACAACACAGATGGACCTAAAGGGCATTATGCTCAGTGAAATAAGTCAGAGAGAGAAAGGCAAATACTGTAAGATATCACTTGTATGTGGAATGTAAAAAAAAACAAAAACAAAAACAAATGAACAAGCATAACAATACAGAAACAGACCCATAGATACAAAGAACAAATAAGTGGTTGTCAGAGGGGAGGAGAGTGGGGGAATGAAAGGAAAGAAAAGGTAACTAACTATGCGAAATAATGTGTGTGTGTGTACATCACATTGTACACCTTAAATATATATAATTTTTTGTCAATTACACCTCAGTAAAGCTGAAAAGAGGGAAAAAAAAGGAATGAGAAGACCTTAAGTATTATTTAGATTGGGACAGCAAAACAAAGTTCTTTTGACTTCTGTATTTAAGAATATGACAGTGTTGAAGGGAATACATATGATATGAGAGAAGATAGGAAAAATTGTGAAGAAAGCAAAGAAGAAAATGAGGAGGGAAGTGCCATGGTTGGAGATTGGAGCCTGTGGAAAGAGGCAAGTGGGAAATTCCTTAGGGCAGATGGTTAAATATCTTTTAAGAAAAGGGATTTCTAAAAATCAAATTTAAGTTTGTTATATGTGAATACCCAAGTTCTCAATTAAGTCATTACCAAAAAAATTACATATGCAAAACATAAAATTTTACAAAAATGGAAAAATGAGAGCCAGCATGTATAAACTTTTTTTGACCCAAAAGTTATTTATTAAAGTTACAATAAAATACTTTTCAGTGCATAAAAATATTGCAAAATAATTGATGCATTTTGCAATAAAGATACCAGATTTAATATTTACTGACAAGATAAAGATATGTTTAATGACTTTTGTTCTATTTCAAGGTCACCTTATTGAGCGATACATCATGAAATCAATAGTTGTACATGTAGGAAATTTACCAGTGGAGCTCTCTTCCAAGGGTGTGTATATTTTAATTAGTCTCATGTGGGTGTCTCTTCCATTCTGATGATTGGCTACAATAGCAATCTGTATCATGAATGTACGAGTTGGCTTCTTATGATTATCAGTTAAGGGAACGTGAATCCAACCACTTGGTTGCACCAATTCAAGTTGCGGAATTTCTTGAAGATTGTGAAAATTATTTCCTACTCTGACTGAGATCTTGTTTGGAGTATAGCTTTCATCAGATTTGTAGTCTGCATAAATATATAATGTCTTCACTGTTGTTTTTCTTCTGAATTGGATGTTCACTAAATGAGGCTGGGAGCCATCTGACTGCCGGTAAGTTTCTAGATTGTCATCTCGTAATTGATCCACTCCAAATCCTGGTTTGCAAGATGAGAGAGCACATATAAACTTCTGGTATTCTCTGGAGGGTGTATTCAACTCTCTATCCTGCTGTAACACTGTCTTCCAGTCTTATCATAAAACTAGATCACCAGATCACATGGACAGTTTGTATACTCTCTCGGGAGGATGAGATGTTTCTACAGTGTGTTTTGGAACCCCATCAATAGAGACCTCTGATTCACTGAGGATTCCAGAGAATGCCAACTTGAAACCTAAAATCAATTATGATAAATTTGAGGAACTTCAGTATTAATTTAGCATTGAATCCCATGACCTGGATGCTACTTCCCCCAAAATTTTGGCAAAGAATGCTTATAGTATTATCCTTGTGGTTGGAAACTTCTCAACAAAGCAACACACATAGATGAAAGCAACGCTTTGATGGACTTTTTGAGAAGGATTCAGTTTCATCTGTTTCTATGACTACATGCCCAGAATCATATAAACAAAGACTTCACAATTTAGCTGATGTTCCAAGATTGAAATTAGTTGCCTTGGTTCTCCTTGTTGAATCCCAGAACATGGGCTGAATTCAGGAAGCACTGTGCCTTTGCACTGCTGAAGCGTGCTTTCAATGTGTCCAGCAAAATGGTCCCAGAACACCAGCAGAGCCACAGAGAGCTGGAAAACACTTTGGGACTAGTCATGAGAACCTTTAATGATTCCTCTCTCAAGTCCTTAGCTGTAGAAAATCCGTTTTCTGATCCTTACAGTCAAAAAGAATAATGGGTAATGCATCTATACCTATATTTGGTGGAATATAAATTTTTCTCCCTTTTATTTAGGTATAAAACAACCAAGTTTTAGCACAGGTATTTTTTTGTAGCTATGGCACTTACAAGTTTTTCATCATCATTTGAATCAGTTTGACTTCCCAGTGAGTGATGTACAGCAGACAAATACCTCACTATACCTGAGAGTGAAATTAAATTGACTAGCCACACACTGCTAGCTTTAAACTTGGAATTCTTGTTGACAATAAAAGATTACAAAATATCTTGCTTCAGAGCCTATGGTAAATAATTTCAGATATAATCATTTTATGCATTGTCCCCCTTGAGGCTCTGAAATATTCGCAGTATCTCTCCACACAGTCTACACTAGGACACAAGCACACTCACTCACTTGCTCATCTAAGTTAATATTTTACTCTTGTTTCTTTAGTCTAAATGCCCTTCCCCTAAAGTTCAAGTCTCATCCCTTAAATCTGGGCTCTACTGCTCATTCTTCCATACACTCTTTTCCTCATTCTCCTTGTACTTTTCTCAGAATATTGCTTGCACCTCTGTTTGGCTTAATTTCCTTCAACAAGGTATTTGTTGTCTGTTGGAGGCAGATGCAGAGCTCCTTGTAAACAGATTCTCTCTCATTTATCTACGTTTCTCTGCAACTAGCTTTGAAATATTTGGTGATCTGAATAGAAAAAGGAGCCCAAAATTCAGACTTCCATGGAAAACTAGTGGAGAAAAATACCCAGTTACTCTGCATTTTTTGTATTTTTGTATTAGGAGTTTATGGAGAAAACTCCTAGAAAAATCAGACAGGGAAAAACACTATGCTGAGGCCTATGCCGTAGTGCTTAAATTTCATACATAGGCTCTAACTATGTGGAAATTTGCTACAGTCTCTGAGTAGCAAAGACTTCCACAATGTGCACAAAGGTTTTGACTAATTGGACTGAAATGACAGGTTACTTTACTTGAACAAGTTAGATATCATTTTTAGCTACACTCTTATTTGGTGTCTAGAGAGCCAATAACAAAGGGAATTGACTGAACTTTTCAACTTTTCACTATTTATTTAGACACTGTATAGACATAGCCCAAAGGAAATCTTTCCCAAAATACCTCAAAGAATTTTTTCTTCAACTGCATAAGATCATGAGAAAATAAAATCCCTCTGTTCTCAAATGACACTTTAAAGTTATGAGTATAATGTGGGGAAATCAGTTCAGCCATGGATTATCAAAACAACAGAAATATAAAACAGGTATCAATTTATAATATTTGCTGAAATAAATTGATTCAAACTGTCAGCTAGGTTCTTTGACACTGAAAATAAAATACCAAACATACTAAAGTAGAAACTTAGCAATGAAAAGCCTGACCCTCCCTTTTTATGATATTATCTTACTGTGAATTGAACTGATTGATAAATTAAGTTCAATTTGGCTCATTTTGCATGAATTCAGTCCTGGGTCAAAAGAGTTTTTAAAGTTTTCACACACCTTTTCTACTGGCCCGTATGTTTATCCTTTGTAGAAATCATTTTGCAGTTATACCGAATTGATTCTACTGAGCTCCATAGCAATGGCTTTCTATCACTCTGTTCCCTTTGAAGAGAGCGGTTTTTCTGACATGATCTGGGTCTTGGGTGAGATGAGCGCATCTCTTCTTTTGTTGGTTGTCAGAAAGTCTCATTTGTGTGACTAGTTTAATACCAAAATTAAAAACTTAAGTAGTAAATGGACTGGGGAGATTCAGGTGCAACAAGTTAAAAAGGAAAACAGTAGGCTTTAAGAGCGTATGCATGAAAGAGCGATGTGCCAGGATGGAGTTGTGTACCTCGATGGATGACTGCCATCAAAAAGCACGCATCCATTGAATGCTGCCATTGTTTATGTCGGCCCAAGCTGTGTTGAAACACTTTCTGCTGAAGTGTTCTGCCCAGGGTGGTGACCTGTGGTCCCCTAGGTTCTAAGCTGTCCTATGGATAGAAATACATTTCCTGTTTCCCATATCCCCCGTCTCCCCACCCATATATCAGGGATTGGTTTGAAAGAATGAAACCATACAGATGCTTAAAGACCAGAAATCCTGTCAAGGGGAAAAAGAAATGGAAAAGAGAAGAAAGAGAATAAATCCCCAAATCCCTGCACATGCAAAGCTTTCTTATTTTTTTTTTTTGCACTTCTAAAGTGCCCATTCAAAACCACATGAGTAAAAATGAAGTTGTGTGTTTTTCACATCCTTCAGAACAGGCTGAGGGATGAAAATGAGGGCGAGTTCCCTATAGTCAAACATGCCCAGAAGTAGCAAACTTTGACTTAGCCAAGAGCCAAATAAACTGCTCCCGAATAATCGAGTCTTGGTATAAATCCATAGAGATGCTCTTTTCATGTATGTGAGGTGGACTTTCGATTTCATCTCTGGGACAAAGTTTGAGGTTATTCTGTGACTCTGGCCTAGAAAATGAAGAAAACCCTTGTAACGGATGGCTCATGTAGGCTTATTATGAGTGTGTGTTTAACTCCCTCATGTGAATTATATTTTAAATCATTACCACTCAAGAGTCACAAGTTTTCATCTACTTAAGCTCAAGATACCCGTGTGGAAAAGCATTCTAAACTCAACTCGCTGGGCAAATACCACTTTAATACTTGAGTACTTAAATACAAATATTATAACAGAAATGAGAGCTTTCTGGTTTTCTTGACTTGTATCACATTAAATTAACAGACACATTAACAGACCTACATTACATATCAAAAGAATAACTTTTTAGAATTCATATCCGAGGAAAAGAGACAAAATTTAGCTTTTATGTCTTTTTACAATGGGAAGAAAGGTCTGTGAGACAGAAGGATAAGATGAGCTCTCATCCTAGCATATGATATAAAATGGATCTGAAGAAGTAAAAACACAGATGCTTAATGAACACTGAAAGCATGAGTGACACCAGGACTCACGTCTAATTTATCTCTTTCTTTTCCCTGGACTTAGTATATTGGACTAATAAACTTACCTCAAGATGGATAGTTCATAGATAATTTCATCCCAAATCCCACCATTACAAATGGATTTCAAGCCTTTAAACTTTCCACTGTCCCCTGAACTTGAAATTTTTCAGTCCTACTTTTGTCAGAGTGATAAATCTTTCTGGATGTATCTGGAAGGAAATTTGCTTTAAAATTTAAAATTTGCTTTAATCCCCTGTGGTCTGCAATAAGGGTCTGAAAGGGAAGTACCAATATACCAGGTCAATACAGGAATGAAAATTTTTAAAGTACCAAATCCCAGCATGCATGTTCATAGTGAAAACCTAAATGACCAAACCAGGACGATGTTTTTTTCTAGCTCAAACAAGCTCCAGTAATGAAACATCTAAAGCTATATAATAAAAATGATACTTTGTTATGGAAGGAGAATGGCTGTGGAAGTTCATTATTCTGTAGAATTTTATCTTCAGTAATATTTGTCTACATTTGGCCATGGAGCATATGAATTTAACCATTTGTTAAGAAGAGTGGAGGTTGTCTAATTTGAGGCAAATGCAAATGTAGCAATAATATTGTTAGTAAGGGGAGTTTATTGTGCAAAGTATATTTTGCAAAATATACAGATAACTGCTAAGGTCATTGGAGAATTAATAAATTCCAACCCTAAATGTGCATGGGACAGTCTTTTACATGAATGTGTAATGCTCTTAATTTAATAGCCTGACATCAGCAATGGAAATAACAATGTTTATTCTGCTATAGGAATGTAGTAAAGCCTAACCACAGAGGCAGTATTCACAGTTTTAGAAAGGTTAAAATAAGAGATCAACACCAGTTTTGTCTTTTTAGTGGCAGGAATTCTGCTTCTGATAAAAAATAGTTCCCAGTTTTCATAAGAGAATTCCTTAATTAATAATTTCTTGCTAAAACAGATACTTATAAATGTTTATATTATATATATAAAAAAATATACATATATAAAGCATTGTAATAGTGGAATACCTTCAAACAGTCTTATCTTTTCATCATCTTTGTTCCTTTGTGTCAGGAAGTAGGAGTATCCTATTAGGTATGTCACTATTAGTTCTAGAAGTAATAACATTGTCCTTATTCACTACAGTAAGACCTCTGTGGTAACAGTGCTAATCTTAACCACTGACCAGTATAAGAATGCCACCCTCTATCTAGGGCCATACCTTCTATCCAAGTATATATACGATCAAGCAGCAATAACCAACAAAAGATCAGTATAATAACGACCCAAGCTATATTTCTATGGCAGAATCATTTTTTGTAACTTTGAAAGTTCAGTTATCCTTTTTGGTTAAAATTATGCAGCCCTTAAATAACTCTGAGTAAATGGATTATGTGCCATTAAGAGGTTTCTTGAAAGTTTTCATTAGCTACGAAATAAAACAGCTTTAAGCTTTAGAATGTTCTACTCAGTTGGAGACTCATGTCTTTCTGATATTCTTGTGACAATTTCTATTCTAAGTGTCAAAAACAACTCTGCTATCTGGAACAAGTCGTGTAGTATTCTCTCCTTTTAATATTCTAATCGTGAGGTGTGAAGTGAAATGGTTGCACAGTGTAATGGTGGTAAAGAAGTGGAGTGTCAATGAGATGGGGAAGGTGACAGACTTGGAATAGGTCCCTGAGGTGCTCTCCAAGTGCACTGGATAAAGATTCCCCTGGGAAAATTTTCTCATTAGTTCTCAGACACAGTTCAGTAATTCAATAGCGCGAGGTTACCATTAGTCACAAGACCACAACATGTTACTTTCCATGCTTTAGTTCCTTTATTTGTATATGTCATTTTCAGACTGAAAAATTATGAGCCCTGCTCTCATGCAAAGACAGTCAGTGAGTTGTTTACATACTGAAGTATGAACCATGACAAGCAGATTCTGTAGAGTTTTCTTTTAATTGTTGATGTATGAAGCAATTCAAAGGGAAATAGACATTTTAAATGATTCTAATGATACTTCCCTAAACAACTGTCAGTTCTTTATACCAGAATTACTAAACATGCACACATATACACACGTGTGCACATTTTCATAAGAAAATCAGGAAGCATTCAGACATGGTTAAAGATCACATTATCAAAAATCTCTCTCACCCTTATTTTTGCTACTTATAAAGTAAACTTGTCACTGCTTAAAACCAGCTACTCTCTATTGACTATATTCGGTTTCAGAAATTGTTAACGTTCTTTCTAAAATCAGAAAATATTGACTGATTTACTGCACATGTGAATATGAAATATTCACATTTTGTACTGCAAGTGAGGGGAAACTCAAAGACCGTGGCCGTTAATTTCCTATGTAATTACTGAGAAAGATGTTAAAACACATAGATTATAATTCTGCATCTTTTCTTTTTCACTGTCATAAACAATATGTACCTTTTTCTATCTTTTGAAAATTAACTGCACTCCCACTCTACACTTGAAGGCATAATGGGTCGGGGGATTGTCTGCCTCATTACTCACTTAGGTCAGAGAGAAAGGAGTATACACCCGACAACCCTATTGGTCACTTAAATCCTCCTTGTTACATTAGGGAAACATTAATGAAATCTGTGAAAATGAAAATTAGATGCTATACTAACAGATTGTTGTAGATTTTTGTATTTCATAAGATAACTCAGTATTTTACTTTGCAGACTTTGCAATGATAGTCATTCTTGTGTTTAAAAGATAACTAGTGTATGGTGTTGTAAAAAATTACTCCATTTACTTTATAATATATATTCTAGAGGAAATATAATTTAAATGTATCCACCTAAACATCATGACAGAATGGAAGAGGAAGTTAACCTTTTGTAAATGCAAAGTATGTTTCTTACAGAAATAAAATGTGGTAAGAAAACTGCAAGGGGAAGTTATCTATTAGAAATAATGATGAGACGTAGAAGAAAGACTAGACTTTGCCATATGAACTGGTAAAAAAAAAACCACTTCCTAATAGAAACACACTCCTATCAAAATAGTAATGATCAGGATTCCAAACAAACCATCAGATACTTCTGTTTATGTGCTACCCATAGACTTATTGTTGAATTATGAATTGTAAATATTTATAAGTGACTCATTTTAAAGAAGTTGTCAGCTGCAGCTACAGTTCTTCACCTTCTGTCATCCCAGCTATCAAGGGGGCTGACTCAATCACTTTCTTGTCAGGCTACCTTTCTTCCCTAGAATACTCAATTCCCAAAACACAACAAAATATAAATGAATGGAAAGTGCTAATGATGCATGATTGCCAAGAGGTATTAAGTTTTTAAAGGTACTTTGCTGACTAAATTTTAAATGAGCAAAATCCTGAAATTAATTTCCCAGGGCAATAATATTTGTATTTTTAATAGATGTCCACTGCAAGGAACTATGTAATATTGTCTTCTGGTGTGTCTGTCTTTCCTGCGGTAGGAATCATATCAGCTTTTAAAGTCCCAAGTATATGTAGTTTATTCCATGTTTAATTATATGATCTACACTCATAAAAACTAGACTAATGAAAAAAACCCAACATTTTAATTAAAGGAAAATGGCTTGAAATGATAAGATTTGGGAACTGTCCTGTGTTAAAGGTATATTTTTCATCTTTAGGATTAGGCTGATGTCATTTTCAACAATTGAGTCAAAATCTTTATATTTAGCAAATAATACAGAATGGTTTTCAAATCTTATAATTTCATGCATTTCCCCTTTAAATCACCTTAAAAGTGCCACTCTGATGACAAAAGCTGTCTTCTCTACTGACTTGATAACAATCTAAACTTGTAATTTCTTTACCATTTTTGACTTAGGTTGGTTATATTATGTTTCTGCTGACATTGTGTTTTGTGGTATGTTTTCATAACTGAGAAGAATCTTTTCTAAGCAGGAGAGATGGATGGTTCCTCAAATCACAGCTTATGGGTTCAAATTTTTAGAAACAAGTGAAAAATTTTCTGTTGTGTTTGTTTATTTAGTCATTATTTTAGAAAAATTAGGCTTTTACTTAAATTTTATGCTGTGAAGAATTGCTTACATCTATATATATTTTAGTATACACAAAAGTCAAAACCAGTAATGGAAAATTAGCAAAACAGTTGAGTACTTTTCATTCAAATAATCAGATAGTCTCATTGAAAGGAGGCCTCAAAGTAGGAAATTAGTGGTTTTCCCAGGTTATGGTATAAGTAACCTAATGGCAATGTGTTAACCCTTCTTTAAGTATCTGTCCATTTAAAAAATCTTCTATGTGAAATAGCTCTTAAGAATCTTTTAGAAATTTGTGATGTCCTTACTATCATTGTAGTGCTGTGACTTACACATGCTCTCACTGACACTCACAAGCAAACAGACTCTATACCCACATGCAAACACATGAAAGTCAGGTCCCGCTCAACAGATGTACTCTTGTGTGGGAATCATATCACTTTTTTATGAAACACTGAAGGCACGACTTTCAAGTAGTTTTAAATTTCAAATCAGGTTAGTGCATATTTAATTTCGACA